AGTAGAGACGGGGTTTCACCATGTTGACCAGGATGGTCTCGATCTCTTGACCTCGTGATCCACCCGCCTCGGCCTCCCAAAGTGCTGGGATTACAGGCTTGAGCCACCGCGCCCGGCCTAATTTTTTAATTTTTATGTTTTGCAGAGGCAGGGTCCCACTATGTTACCCAGGCTGGCCTCAAACTCCTGGCCTCAAGCAATCCTCCCCGCTTTGGCCTCCCAAAGTGTTGGGATTACAGGCATGAGCCACCGAGCCCAGCCCATATTTTTATTTTTGGTGACATGGACGTAGTACACATTCAAAGTAAGTGAATTACAGCAATTTTGGGCCTCTGAAAGTGTGTCCTACTTAGAAACCGTGACCTGCCTTCAGGCCATGCATCTAATAAGCTTCAAAATCAGGTCTCTTGAAACAGGTCTGACCATTCTGCCCTTTGGGAAGCCCCCAGGTGCAAGGGAAACTAAGGCCATAGAATGGGCTTCCAACACACTCACTCCCATTCTGTTCTGTTTCTCAGAAGCCTAAAAGTGGAATCCTAGCTCAGGGAAAATGCAGGGTGTCTCCATCCAGGAACAAACACCCCCTTGCTTAAGGGAGCCCAGGCTCCAGAGAGTTCAGAGCAGCTCACGCCATTAAAGGCACTGCACACCCCGCTGGGGGCTTCAGGCGGATTCCAGCCTCCTGGTATACAGTGGTTTATCATGAGCAGAACATGTTCTTACATGCGCCAGTGAGAACCCTGGCCCAGCCCTCCACCAATGGCTCCTGCACCTCTACCCCAAGAGACTTCGGATTCCTGGGGACAAGTATAAAGGCAGGCTCCGTCCTTGAACAAGGCCAGGTGGGTGTGCTAGAGAGCCAAGAGCCCAGGACAAATCTCGACACGTGAGAGTTAAAAGTTGGGAGACAGTGGGCGTGGTGGCTCATGCCTGTAATCTCAGCACATTGGGAGGCTGACGCGGGAGGATCACAAGGACAAGAGTTCCAGACCAGCCTATTCTACCAACAGAGTGAAACCCTGTCTCTACTAAAAATACAAAAATTAGCTGGGTGTGGTGGCACGCACCTGTAATCCCAGCTACTCAGGAGGCTGAGGCAGGAGAATTGCTTGAACCCGGGAGGCAGAGGTTGCAGTGAGCTGAGATCGTGCCACTACACTCCAGCCTGGTGACAGAGCAAGACTCCATCTCAAATAAATAAATAAATAAACAAACAAAGTTGAGGGACGACTACCAGGGCATCTTCACACCTCGGGGGGACACAATCTCCCGGAGGGTCCCTAGGACAAAGTGCCAACTGCCCATAGCTGTAACTGGCTCATCAGCACCACTTGATTGCTCTTTTCTTGGTTCTCACCCAAATACCATCTATGGGTCTGCTTTAGCGGGAACCCAAACTACAATAGTATTCATAGGGTCCCGTCCTAAACTGTGGGCCATCAGCTGTCTCTCCAAACTCCGGCAGGAGAACCTCATCAAGTGAGATGTGACGCAAAGGAAAAACACCTGGACTGCGAGTCGGACGAATGAGGCTCTCATATTCTGCCATCATAATCTGTGCAGCCTGAGAACACTCTACCAACTTCTCCGAGCCTCTGCTTCTCCGCTGTAATACTGGGTGGGAAACAGTACAGTTAAGCATTTTTTTATACTTGAAAAAACTTGGGCGAAATGTTTACAACTGTCCCCCTGCCCCCTCCCACCTTTTTTCTTTTCTTTTCTTTTCTTTTTTTTTTTTTTTTTGAGACAGGGTCTTGTTTGGTGGCCCAGGCTATGGTGCAGTGGTGCGATCTCAGCTCACTGCAACCTCTGCTTCCTGGGCTCAAGCAATTCTCCAGCTTCAGCCTCCCGAGTAGCTGGGACGGTAGGCATGCGCACCATGCCTGGCTAATTTTTGAATTTTTTGTAGGGATGGGCTTTCGCCATGTTGCCTAGGCTAGTCTCAAACTGCAGAGCTCAAAGCGATCCGCCTGCCTCACCTCTCCAAAGTGCTGTGATTACAGGGGTGAGCCACTGTACCCAGTTCTATTTTTTTTTTTTTTTTTTGAGACAGAGTCTTACTCTATCAGCCAGGCTGGAGTGCAGGGCGCGATCCCGGCTCACTGCAACCTCCACCTTCTGTGTTCAAGCAATTCTCCTGCCTCAGCCTCCCGAGTACCTGGGACTATAGGCACATGCCACCATGCCCAGC